TGCCATGGTATACAGACTTTTGGTATGGGATGGAGTTCTATTTGGGCCTTGCCCGAAGTTGATTTTGAAATTTTGCATGTAATGCAATTCTCAACAAACTTTCTCACGTATTTGGACATATTCGAAAACCAATACTGTGTATACACCTTGTCCAAGGTTTTCTCCCAGCCTAAGTGCATTATGGCCTCATGAACGTGATTGATTACTGACCATCTAAATGCTCGCGGTATCACCGGAAGACATCGATTTCGTCCATTTCTTTGTATCTTCCTATACAACATGCCAGATCGCAATTCATACGTTTTCGCGTCTTCATGATTCAGTTCGTTATTTTGCAACTTTGTTATTAATTCTGAAGTTTCCGAATCTCGATGCTGCTCTGCGAGTAACCAGTTATCTGTGATGTCTGCTAGTTCTACGCGCACCTCGGCTACTTTAGTGAAATTGGTGGCCTTATTATCCGGTAGTGGATTTCGGGAAAAAAAATCAACATGTGCCATGCTATTTCCCTTTCTATATTCAACCTCAAACTCAAAGGACTGTAAATATGCCCACCAACGATGAACCCTCGGCGTTAAATCTTTTTTATGTCGACTAGCTTTGAGTGAGTTGCAGTCTGTGAACACCACAAATGGGCGGCCATGTAAGTAATGGCGAAAATGCTTGACTGCATTATACACAGCCAGTGTTTCCAGTTCGTATGAATGGTATCTGGCCTCTGCTCCGGTTGTGCACTTGCTAAAATACTCTATGACTCTCGGTTTACCGTTAATCTTGTGCATCAATATGGCACCATAGCCGTCTGCACTAGCGTCAGTGTGAAGTTCGACTGGAAGCTGCGGGTCATAAATAATGAGAACGGAATCACCAACTAGCACGGATATTATTTCTTGACGCACCTGCTCGTGCTTATCGCGCCACTCAAATTTGCTGTTTTTCGACGTTAGCAAGTACAAAGGTTTCATTAGTTCGGAAAATCGGGGGACGAATTGTCGAAAATAAGATGACAAGCCAATAAATTGTCTCAGTTGAGTAACAGTTTGTGGTGGTGGCAATGCGGCCAATGCCTGAATCTTCCGCGAGTTTGGTCTTATTTCACCATTCTCAATTTTATACCCTAAGTACTCAACACTTGATTGTAGAAAGGAGCACTTGCCTATATTGTAAGAAAACCCAGCACTAGTCAGTCTTTGCAACACCTCCTGAAGTCTCGTAAAAGCCTCCTCTTTTGTAGTAGCAACAATTAGGACATCGTCAATGTAAACAATCGCATACGAATATGCCACTTCGCCCAATGCTCGCATTATAGATCGCTGAAACACTGACGATGCATTCTTCAAGCCAAAGGGCATGGCTACGAATTCGTATTGACCTTCTGTTGTAACAAATGCCGTGCGCTCAATCGAGTCGGGATGTATTGGTATCTGATAGAAACCGCTTGCCATGTCAAGACAGGAGAAATACTTGCCACCGCGCAATCTATCGATTTGGTCTGATATTAGGGGCAAAGGGAATTTATCTGCGACGGTGTTAGTATTTAACTCTCGATAATCTATACACAAACGATCACTACCATCCTTCTTTTTAACTAGCAACATCGGACTCGCAAAAGGGGAGCAGCTTGGCCGTATAACTCCGCAAGCTAAGAGTTCTTGTATTTTGTCCCTTACTAGTAATTTTTCTTCCACGCTCAATCTATACGGACGCCTCATTACCGTTTTACAGGCGTCAATCAGACGGATTTCTAATTCACCCGTAGTGACTCGACGATTAGGTATGCCATTTATAAACGCTGATGCATGCGACTTTAATATTTCCGCTAGTACAACTCGGTCTGACTGACTTAAATTTACAACTCCATTTACTGTATCCATGAGATTCAATTCAGCAATGCTCGACACGGTGTTGACAGTCCTGATCCTCTGTAAAACAAACTTATTAGCATCTATGGTTACACCAAAGTCCTGACCTAGAATTTCACGGCCAATCAGCACATCATACTTTAAATATTTGTCCATAACAACGTGAAACAAAATCTCGATGGAAAATTCACCTATTGTTACAGTAGAAAGAATTTGAACTGTACTAATCACAGAACCATGACCTATGCCACTTATATGTACAGTATTATTTAGCCTCTTGCCCGTGAACTTATCAGCTAATTTTTCTTTTAATAAGGAACATTCGGCTCCTGAATCAAAAAAGTATGAAACGGGCTCACCGTGCTGGTATAGGGTCCCCTTCGGATCGACTACGGTGCACGCATCCACTCGCTTCTCGTATGTGTTGCCCTTGGTTGACGATGATGTGACTGTACATTTGCTTGCAATATGGCCCGGCTGGCCACACTTGAAGCAGGTTACAACCGACATGTCCCTCTTCGGTATGGTGCTGCTGCGAGTCAGGTTACTTTTTGAGTCACTTCCGCTTCCAGAATTTTTGATGCGGCAGTCCGCCACCTTATGGCCAGATTTGCCACAATAGTGGCACTTCCCTTGCCACGACGATCGCTGCTTCTTCCGCTCTGGGCCACCAGTGTGGTCTGGTGTGTTGCCATCACTGCGCTTTCCAAAAGAATAGGCGCGCAATTGTTGCTCCAGTTCAGTGCGAGTTTTAATATTCGTGGTGAATAATAAATGCTGCAGTCGTTTGTCTATTTGCGCGGTGTGTGCCAGCACGACAGATACCGCAATTTCTTCGTTGCTCATGTTCTTCCATTTCGATTGCAGCGATGTTACTTGTCTACTGGCATACACAGAGACACATTCGTTTAGCTTTGGTCCACTGCTAAACATGTTCAATAAGGACGCGGCTGGGGTCTCTACACCTTCATATTGCTGAAGAAACAATTCACGGAACTCTGGCCACTTTATTCCAGTGTAGCAGATATGAGACAGCCATTGGGATGCTCCTCCTTCCAACGAGTTGCTCAGCGCCATAACGAGAGCGCTTCCCTCAAGCATGTTCTCCGCCATGATGATATCAACGGTTTTGCACCAAGCAGCCGCGTCTGCATTCGCGTTGTCAGGGCAAAACTTTGGTAGCGTCACTTTGTTGTTGGGTTGCGTCGCCATTTTGTTGGTTTGCATGGATTTGAGTAAGTCCATGAAATTTTTGTTTTGCGCTTCCAATAAGGCACGCAATTGGTCGTTCGACAGGCTTTGTGGCACGGCCGATCCCACTTCTGATGTCGGAGACCTAGGAGGTGGTGTTGGAGACATCGGTTCATCTTCCATGATTCAGCAGTTTTTCTGAGTTTCGCACAGCAAGTCGCCTGGGTGTGTTCCTTGTCCGTTCTGAAGTGAATAGCCATTCACCTCCATTGCCATTCACCTGTCATAGGTCTCTTTTCCTATCTCACCACACCAGTCAATTATCTCACCATGCTTTCACAGCACACTACTCAGCTGAACACCCCAGGCGCCATGCTCACTTGAGTTACACTCAAATGATGCTCACTCAACTCATCAGAATATTACACACTTCTTTATTCTACATGGGGCTCATTATTTTGGTTACATTCGAATTTAGCGTAGTTAGATTTACGAATCTACGACAAATATATTTTCGACGTATTTTCATCTACTCTGAGATATAAGCTTATTTTATTATTTCAGAATTTTGATATACATTTTATGAAAATCGGACAACTATATCATATATGTAGCTGTCATACAAGCGATCGGTAAATGTATAACATATGTAAAGCTGGGAATGCAAAACTGTAACTGTCAAACTGTAAACATATTAAGTATAGGTAAAATGTAATGAAACTCTGTTTTGTGAGTGTTTTCAGCATTTAAATTTATAATATAAACATCAAAACCAATCTGCAAGGGTATACAAACTTCGGCGTGCCGAAGTTAGCTTCCTTTCTTGTTTAGTAGTAACTTTAATTTTACTTATAACTCTTATTTGCGATCCCTGTTTTTGACTCGATTATAGAAGTCGCTGTCGGCATGTTGATGAAACTTTGATGATAGTGGCATATTGATGACTTGTGATACTGCAGGGTACTATTTAATGTATGCATGATCAATGCCAGTTTGGATTGTTTGGGCATCAGACTTTTAATTAAACGCAAAATACACTGAAACTTTTTGAATTATTATTCTTGTACCTTGTCCCTATGTACAGACGGAGAATGATTCCCACCTGGAAAGTTACGAAACGAATATCCATTTAACTTTAACTAGTTGATAACTTTTGTTAGGCCGGGCAGCTGCCGAAAGCCAAGAGCTCAATTACGTAATTTTATTTTTGGAGCACAAAAAATGTTTTATTTACTCTTTTGCCTCTCTTATTGCCTTTGGAGCTGGTCCGGGCTGTGAGCCAAGGACCGAGAACCAAGGGCAAGGACCAAGACAGCCACAGTATTGTAATTTGGCTCCCAGTCAGCAAGAAAAACCAAGAAAAAAAACAAAGAAATCAGCGAAAAAATCTACTTTGTGCAAATAAATGCAAAATAATATTACGAAAAGTTGACCGTTAAAAGATGCCGGCCCAGTCGAGCAAGCGGAGATTGCACGGAGTCAGTGCACTCCAAGTGGATGGTCCTCATGCCCTCCTCCGTCATACTCCTCCGCTCCCCTGCGCCTAAGGGAACGCACTTCATTTCTAAATGGAATTTGGTCCTTTTGGCGCGGGCCAAAAGTTTTTTGCTTGCCTTTGCCTGTTACTTGGCCATTGATTTCAATTTCATTTCGCCCATTTGCCTTGGCATCGCTATTTGCGAGCCCCGCTCCGGCCTTTCCCAAGGATATTATTTAATGTCCAATTGGTAAAATATGTAAATTTTTTGTTTCTAAATTGGCAACCTGAAAAATATGCTTTAGGTCTCAATTGAGTTTTCGTGAATAAATTTTATTATTCCATATGCAGGGACTTCTAATGGTCTAAGTATTAAAGGAAGTTAAGAGCAGGATGCCGGCGATGGGCAGATTCTACTTCCGCGTGTACTTTCAGGATCAATTTGGTTCAATGTGCCTAAGTCAGAGAATCTAGTGGCGGTGGCGGTATCGGAGGCGACGCACGGTCTTGTAACGGTATCCGTCCTTGGCCAATTCGGTTCCATCCTCGGCGGCCTTGGGTTCGGCCTCGGCAGGAGATGGAGCGGCGACCTCGGCGGGTGGCAGGTATTCACCATTTGGAGCGCTCTCGGCGGCGGCGGCGCTCTCCTCAGCGGCGGCTTCTCGGCGATGACGGCGCAGCTTCAAGCGACGCACTGTCTTGTAGCGGTAGCCATCGTCTCCCAGAACAGTCTTAAGCTCGGGGGCCAGGGCAACCTCTACGGGCGGCAGGTACTCGTTGCTGGGCTCAGCGATCTCGGAGACATCGCGGCGGTGGCGGGCGCGGAACTTGAGCTTGCGCACGGTCTTGTAGCGATAACCATCATCGGCCACCTTGGTGTCCCCTATGGCGGCGGCATCCACTGGCGGCAGGTACTCCTGGCTGGGGGCGTTGTCCACGGGTGGCAGATACTCCTGGCTGGGCACCTCACGGCGGTGGCGAAGCTTCAGCCGGCGCACGGTCTTGTAACGGTAGCCATTCTCGGAGAGCTGGGCGGCCTCCGCCTCTCCAACCGGCGGTAGGTACTCAGCGGACGGCTCCACGGCGGCAGGATCTGCCGATTGGGCGGCGACCAGTGCCACCAGGCAAAGGGTGAGGGTTCCAATGAAAAGTTTCTGCATAGGAATGGATCAATGAGTCAAGATTATGCTAAATGCCTGACCACGAACTGATCGTTTTGGTTTTGCTTGTAATCATCTGAAATATTTCAGATCCTTTAAGGGTTTTGTGCTTTGAAAAACTCACCATTCTGAAGCTATTGACTATTCTGGCAGGGACTCGTAGAATTCTAGAGCTGACCAAATGTGCTGCTGTGTCGAAGGTATTGAACCCAATGATACCTTGCTCCAACCTGGCTCGCACATTTATAGCCAGACTACGGCCCGACGAAATCAGGTTTTCATTTCCAATCTCGGTGGTACACAGAATAAAATCAGAAGCGAGACAAGTACACATCAAGCCTCCAAAATCAGACTCAAATAACCACTTGAACGATGACTGCGGCGATGGCTCTGGCTAGTCGAAATCGTTGGGTCGTGATCCGATCGAGAAAGTCCGCCTACGATTCCCTACTGGCCACGCACTCAAGGCTATAATTATGTATGTTTCGATATGGTTTTCGCTGTGAAGTGCCTCCCTATTGGGAGGAAGCATTGATTCGGAATAGCATCATTCTGATGGCAATAAGGGAAAGCATCTGCAATGGCAGCTCTCCGTAAACTTATCTTTTGGTGATATAAAGTTTATGTTTCGACAAATAAAGATTAACAACGCGTGGTCAGTATTTCGATCATTTGCCTAGGCCACTTTACGAGTTCTCGGCTTGAGCATCTCAACGAAGCACTTGAGATATTCTCTGACCTTGGGCTCTGCTACATTTTCGGCGAATCTGTTTCCCGCTTTCTCGAGAGCCTCTTGAGGTGCTTATGATCGAGGGTCTTTTGAAACAATAGACGTTACCTAAGCGAAGTGATGACGGAATATTCCGCCATCCCCACTCGGAGTATATTTTTGGCAACTTTTAAACTATTTATAAAGCACCTCGCCGCGATGGCTAAAGGGGGGGAGCACAAGCATTCTGGGAACTGGTGCATCTGTTGAACAACTCTGGTCAGCACTCGACAAGCACAGTCAACATGCAAACACAAATGATGACAACGACAATTGGCCGTAACAATAACATGCAATTTGGCCAAAAATTATATATTAAGCAGGCTTCTGGCATTCAATTGTCTCTGTGCCACCGTCCTCTCCTTTGCAATTATTTGATTGCCGGATAAAGCGAAATTGTTTGCGCTCCGCATAAGGACAATGCCTGGCGGCGTTCGCTCTGCAATGGGAAGGACGGACACTTTCATAGGATATGAGGTGCATTAAAATGAAATTAAATGGATGCGACTACATTGTTGTTGTCTCTGTTGATACTGTCATTGCTGTAAAAAGCGATGCTCCTGCTGAATATTTTATCACCAGTCATCATATGTGACGAGGCTCCTGCTTTTCCGCCTCTGCAAGGCAATTTTAAGTGCTGTCAGCGTTTTACGGACATAAAAAAAATATATTTTTTTCGTTGCTCTCTTAAAGTCTAAGAATATTTTTACCATTTAGTAATGTAATTTATTTTTGAAATTATAGTAAATTAATAGAAGCTCAGCGTTTTTGTTACTTTAATCTTCTACATTAAGTAATAATAATTTACTATTAATAAATTAAGCAATTAGTCAGATTTAATATTGTCTGAAATCGAAAAGCAGATTGCAGCACTTATAGCGACTCAATTTTGATACATGCTACAATGGACATACCGGGCGGAACAGGACTGTGTACCTTTGCCTTTGACAACGCTGCCAGTCATGATAATATGTCATTATATTAAGAGCCTTGCAAACACAGCCTCAGACCCACCCAACTTGGCGGCGCCTGGGCTGGAAAATTCATTAGCGTTTCTGCTTTGTGGCCGTGTTGTGTTTGCCCATAAAACTAAGACGCCACTGGGAATGAAAATGCATACATGTGTGCTTGCGCCTGTGCTTCGGCGAGACTGTTTGTGTGAGCCTTCAAGTGTTCCCAGTTCGCCATAAAGTAGGCAATTAATTTGTTAATTGGCGTGAATATTGTTAGGCAAATTGATGGCAGTTGACAAGCAGACTCAAGCCTGGACCGGCTGCAGAACGAGCTATTTCCGGAGCAAATTGAATTTTCGCACTGGAAACTGGCAGAGAGACAGGGTAATTCGGTCAGCTGAGTGGATTGCAAATAGTCGAGGCCAACATTGGATTAATAAATGGGCGAGCTGCAGTAGGTTTTGACTTCCGTCCCGATTTGCACCTCTTCAAAGGAGATCGCTGCTACCCCCATGTGCACAACATAATGCATTTAAAGGTCTTTTTATGTTCGATGCGACAATGTTTAGCCCTTCATTTCGAGCTACGCACGTGTTGGCATTTAAAGTTTAAACATGTTTTGCTGGTTTCGTTTTTATATTTTTTTTTATGACTGCCAATGAGTCCCTTTTATGAGCTTTTGATCTTATCACGATGGCTCACACAAAAGGCTTAACGCCACAGTTCCTTTATTCCGTCGATATGATTTATTTTCCAATATGGCCCTGTTTGCCGCTCGCATATTTTCGGATAAATCAGGCCTTGCAACAGCGCGTACTATAAATTTGGTTATGAAGCTCGATGAGACAATGTTTTGAGGCTATAAATAAAATGCACTTTAAGACAGAACAGAAAATCATAATGACGGAGAAAATTATCTTATTCTCTTTCTGTTTTGAATAAGCTAACAACTTACCAACCTTGCTTTAGCTGACATCCCCTACTATTTCTGTCATCTTTGTTTTACCAAAATCCGGAGTTAAAAAATGGGAGTGTTAAAAGCTCACATCTTTCCAACCCGATTACCATATGAAAAAAAGGATTGACCGATTTATTAAAAAAATCCTTTGATGCCCGTCCTCGTCCTTTTGTGGAGTATTTTTTTCCTGCCTGGTCAATGCCAACAAAACATTTACATACTAGTCACACTCGCTTTTGCATTCACGTAATGACCGGATTATTTTCCAAATTGATTTTGATCGTCCCATTATGCGCACATTGGACCCACCAACTAAGAACTGTGCCACGGTTTATACAGAAAATGTGATTTTAAAAAACTATTCCCCGGCTCTGCGGTTGTAGAAAATTTATTCGCGCTAAAAGTTAATTTCATTTTGTTGACCGCATGTAAAATTTTCAACTTTCTGACTTTGACAAAATTCGTGCATTCCACAAATGCATGGAACAGGTTGAGGGCGGCTGGGTGACCGGAATCATTAGCAATTTTGGTTTTCTATTCTATTCCCCGATGGACATTTTCAGTTAATTGGTTTGAAGGGCGCAAAAATATAACCTACTGGGGCTCGAGTGTCACATAAAAATGCACTCTTTATGAGGGGTACTATGGGTAAAAAAAATAAATACAGAGGCAATCTTTTAGATTTTAGCGCACTAAAAGCCATCAGTGTCGCCGGAACCTCTGCTAACTCGTCCAATTCGGTGATAGGCTTATGAAAAATGCATCATGCAATGCTCAATGCCGGCCCACTCCTGGGCTCATGCGCTTCCTGTTAAACTTTACAGGATTAAGCACTTAACTGCTATTTTACGCACGCATTTTAAATGAATTATGCATTATTTATAACTAAATGAAATGCACACGCATCGAAAACTTTGCAAATGAGGGACGGTCTGTCCAGCTCTCTCGGGCTCCCTGGCTCCCTGGCTGGGTTATGTGGTGTTGAAAGCCGCAGGACGAACATGTTGCGCTTAAAATACTTTGCTAATTTTTCGCTAATATTTGCCAGGTGGTCTGATGCCAGGGGAAATTTCCGGCTTCGCCCTTGTGCATCTATGTATGTTGTTGTTTCCCTTGATGCTGGTGTTGTTGTCTCTGGTCGTTTGGTTTGTCAGCTTGTCGGAAATAACAAATATTTAAACGTATTTAATTAAAACTCACAAATGAAACCACAAACGCAGCGTGCGCGCAATAAACGGCCGAAATGCAGAGTCCCGCTTCAGCCCGGTCCCTCTTGGCCCTAATCCCATTTAGCCCATCTCAGGCATTTATTGTTTATTTATTTACCTTTACTGCAGCTCGCAGCTCTCTACTGTTGGCCGGAAACTTTATGTGAGCTCTTGTGTAGCGCGAACCGTGTTGCATATTCGGATGCGCTTACGGTCGGCGTGGGCGGTTTGGTGAATCGATAAAATGAAAATTGCATCCGCAAAAACAGCGGAACATGCCCATTTAATCTCGCTATCTACTTACACACGTCAGCATTTTTAAACGACACACACCCCATCGAACCTGACCGTGTTGGAGGAGCCAATATCTGATAGGCGCCACACAGTTTGTCTTCTGGACCATGTCATACCTTTAGGATTACACTCAGGCCGATCCCAAATTTAACCCTAATAGCATACTTTCAGGGATTGTGTATTTGACACATAATTAATTATTTTACTACATAAACAATTGACATATCACTTCAAATAAAAACATTACTATTACAACACATTATACTCCTCCTTGATACAACTTTGGACTCCTTATAGACTTTTTATTTATTTCCCGTTAGATTAAGTTTCTACAGACCAAGGAAACAGTACACTAATCCTAATAAAAGCTACTTTTTTTAAGAACAAAAAAAAAACTACAAATACATTACCTTAAAATAAGGTAAGAAAATAATTGTATACCCTAGAAGTAATAAGCTACTCGGTGATGGAGTCATTATAATAATAATTATATTATAATTTCAGTGCATATATAATATGATAGTATGACTCGGTGGAGGAGTCATTATAATATATATATATATTTATACCCTTGCAGGGTATTATAATTTCAGTCAGAAGTTTGCAACGCAGTGAAGGAGACGTTTCCGACCCTATAAAGTATATATATTCTTGATCAGCAGCAACAGCCGAGTCGATCTAGCCATGTCCGTCTGTCCGTCTGTCCGTCTGTCTGTCTGTCCGTCTGTCCGTCTGTCCGTCTGTCCGTCTGTCTGTTTCTACGCAAACTAGTCCCTCAGTTTTAAAGCTATCTGAATGAAACTTTGCATATAGTCTTCTATATACTCTCACTGCTATATATGTCGGAACGGGCCGAATCGGACGACTATATCATATAGCTGCCATACAAATGTTCGATAAATTTTTAGAAAAAAAATTATAACTTTGCTGTTTTTCAACATTTTTGCACCATTTTTTAGATATGGCCATTTTATATTATTTCAGAATTTTGGTAAAAATTTTATGAAAATCGGACG